GAGGTCAGTGGGTTCCAGCTTATCCTCGTTCCTCTGTCCTGTGTCCAGTTCTTCCTCCCAACTGCCAATCCTGGTGGCAAACAATGGCCCTTGGCCTACCACCAGATGCTGCCAGCACATTATCAAAGGCAGTTGCAAGTCCAGCACAATGGCATGAGCCTGTAGTCCCAGCTATCTGGAAGGCTGAGGCAGAAATATCGCTTGAATCCAGGAGTTCAAGTCTAACATGGGCATCATGACAAGCTCCTGTCTCTAAAAATAATAACAGTAAATTAATTAATCAAATAAAATACAAACAAAATAAAATTTACATTGTGATCCCAGATTTCCAGGCTAGGAATCACTGAAATAGGTTGCATACCCAAAGGTTGTTGCTACTGAGAGGCACAGCTTTCTGTTGGCATTCCCACAAGCTTTTCCTCCCATCTCATTGTGGCAGTTGAACAAGGTGTCTTCTTAGATTAACTGGTGACTACTTCTCTGGTTGTCCAATTTTTGCCCTGAATCTTCACTTCCTCAGCTCCTTTTACAAATGTTTAAGATATAGTAATCCTGTAATAAATCTCTTACCCACACCGAATCTCTTACCCTCATTTAACCTTGAAGGGTAAAAATAGGGAAAGTCTTGCTAAATTTGAATCTGTTTCACCTGTTCTCAAGACCCAGTTACAACCATGTACTTCCTACATTCTGTTGTTCAAACATTATTTGGATTACATTTATGAAACAAAGTGTTTCTTCTCAACTAATTTGAGTTTGTTTCCATATTATTTGTAATTAATATGTATGGAACTGTTAATGATGGGTCTCTTGCATTTCTGCATGTCTGTGAGCAGAGAGACACCTTACTTATCCTCCAAACTCTTTTTTTCAAGGATGTTTATATAGCAAACAACCTTGGAAGACAGAGATAGTGGCTCCCTTTGGCGCAAAGCACAGATATGCTTTACTGTCCATTTAAAAATATGTGGGGCCGGGAGCGGTGGTTCACGTCTGTAATCCCAGTACTTTGGGAGGCGGAGGTGAGAGGACTGCCTGAGCCCACAGGTTCGAGAACAGCCTGGGCAACCTGGCGAGACCTCATCTCTACCATACAAAAAAAATCTCAAAAAAATTAGCTGGGCATGGTAACATGTGCCTATAGTTCCAGCTACTTGGAAGGTTGAGGCAGAAGGATTGACGCTGGGTTGGCCATGAGCATGCCACTGTACTCCAGCCTGGGAGACAGAGTGAGACTCCAACTCAAAAAGTATATATAAAATAAAAATAAATAAATAAAAATATTTGGTTCCCGAACTCTTTCCTGGAACAGGCATTTTCTGCCCCTCGTCATACCATCCTGTGAAAACTGAGGCTCAGAAAACAATGCAAAAATGATGATAATCTGGCCACTACTAGCGCTGCAAATAATAAACTCTCCTTTGTTTCTAATCCAAGAGACTTGAAACTTGCATGCTAACTTAACTTGCATAGAGGGTGAAATCTCAACTCCTTCACAGTTCTTGAAATAAGATTATTTCAGACTAGTATAATTTTGTAAATACTGTTCTCTGGGCTTTCCAAACACAACAATGTGTATATCTACGATCCTGAAAACCCTTTTTTTTTTTGAGTTGGAGTCTCACTCTGTCGCCCAGACTGGAGTGCAATGGCCGCTCCTGGTCACCGCAGCCTCGACCTGCTGGGCTCCGGTGATCCTTCCGCCTCAGCCTTCCAAGTAGCTGGAAGTGCGCATTACCATGACCAGCTAATTTTTTGATTTATTATAGAGATGAGGTCTCATCAAGTTGCCCAGGTGGGTCTTGAACCCATGGGCTCAGGCAATCCACTCACCTCAGCCTCCCAAAGGCGCGGGATTACAGGCTGAGCCACCGAGCCCGGCTAATAACCATTTTTTTTTTTCTTTTTTAAAAATTGATTGATTGACTGATTGCGTGGGACTCTCATTCTGTTGCCCAGGCTGGAATGCATTGGCATGATCACAGCTCACCACTGATTTATCCCAAGAGATAAATCATACCCATTGCAATAAATGCAGGGAAACTTATGTCAAATAAGATAATAGCATTCTCCAGGCCTATCATTTCTGTCTCAAGGAAAATATTAAAAGGAGTCGGAACACCTGTCTCCTTTGAGGCACCTCAGATCTCAGTCAACCTTTCTGCCTTAGCCTACTGAGTAGTTGAAACGATAGGTGCACGCTGCCATGCCTTATATGTTGCCTAGGTTGGTCTCGAACTTCTGGGTTCAAACAATCTTCCCACCTTGGCCTCCCAAATTGCTAAGATTACAGGCATGAGCCACTCACCCAGCTCTGGAGTAACATTTTTTTTTTTTTTGAGTTGGAGTCTCACTCTGTCGCCCAGACTGGAGTGCAGTGGCTGCTCCCGGCCACCGCAGCCTCGACCTGCTGGGCTCCGGCGATCCTTCCGCTTCAGCCTTCTGAGTAGCCGGAATTACAGGTGCACGCTACTACGCTTGGCTAATTTTTGATTTGTTGTAGAGATGAGGTCTCACCAAGTTGCCCAGGCGGGTCTCGAACCTGCGGGCTCAGGCAATCCACTCACCTCAGCCTTCCAAGTGGAGCAACATTTTAATAAACAAGTAAATGTATTCGGTTTTTAAGAAATACATTCAATTTATTATATTTTTATAGTATAGCAATTACTATGTATGCATAACTTTCTGTTTCTCTTTTGCAATATAAACAAGAATTTGGTCAGAATGTGCTGGTTGTAGTAACAGAAACAAAAGTCTTTCTAGTTTATGCAAAAAGGAGGATTTATTATAAAATTACAAGGGTACCTTAACAAAGCCAAGAACAACAGTTAAAACCAGGCCTCAGGATGGTGGCCAATAAAAGAAATAAAATCTTGCTAGCTTAAGCAAAAAGAGGAGTTTATAATTAGGATACAAGGATACCTTACCATTCCAACGGAAGGGATTATGTCCATACTTCATGAAGGGCTGGGACAAGGGAATAGAGCAATGACAGAAAGCCAGAAATCATACTCTCCTAATTTCTCATCTCCACTTTTCACTCTGCAAATGCTTCACTGCTCTCTCACTGCAGATTTGCTGGTTTTTCTTCCTAACCACAGGGTGAGACATAGAAACCCATAGCTCCCCCGCTTATATTTCCTTTATTCCAGAGACAAATCAGACCAGGGCTAAAATCTCTTGTTTTCAGTGCTAAAGTCCTAGAGAAGTTTTAGGATCTCACCAAAATTAGCACTAATTTCTTTCTCTGGGGAAGACAGTAAGGCAGAGTTTTAGGGCACCAAAAGACAGACGGCAATTCAAAATTTTGTTTTTTTGTTTGATGATATTATGGAATAAATTTTTTTTCTTGTTTTTACTATTTCTTACAGAACTTGAGCTGAAATAGCTTACTTGGATCTAGGAGTGGATAGAGAGATGTATACAGAACTCACAGCACACTGTGGAAATGACCAGGTGCTTCAAACGAGAGAGGTTTTGTATCTCCTTTTAATACTTCCCTTGGAATAGAAATTATAGGCCTGTAGAATGCTATTATCTAATTTGAAACAATTTTCTTTGCATTTGTTGTAATGGGTATGATTTATCTCTTGGGAAGATTTGGGCAGGACTCGGTATGAGTAATTTAATCACCAAAGGTAATATTATACTTTGTTAATGAATCATTTTTCCTAGAAGCAAGAAAAAAGGGATTAATTATGCATAGATTGTTTAGTTAAAAGAAAAAAAAAAAGAAAGAAAA